GGGGATCCCTTCAGCTCGAGGAGCCCTCTTGAATGCCACCCTCCGCGCGTTAGTAGCCCCCCCGGGATCGCTAGATCAGTCGGCGCCGGACCGTGAATTTAACTACCCGTAACTCCCAAACCCCGGGGGCTATCCACGCGGGGGTGGTCTCATTCGAAAGAGGGCCTCTAGACGTACACTCGATTCACGTTCGAGAGGGTTCCTCGAGCTGAAGGGATCCCCCAAATTTGGTGCGGATTCACCGCGCCGTTTTGTAGATATGGCCGTTCAAAGTTTCAATGGTTTTCCATAGACTTAAGCTTTAAAGCGTTTCATCCAGGTCGCCAGTAGCAAACAATGGAGCGTGCTCTGCTGGACAAACTAAGTAATTACACCATTTCAAGCATTTTATCTGCATTATATGTTCTGTAAAAAAAAAAAAAACAATTCATATCGGTGACATATTCGCCGATACCGATATATCGGCGACAGGCTCATATCGGCCGATAATATCGGCAAAACGATATATCGGTCGGGCTCTACTATATAGTAGTACTGCATCCTTCATATCTCCAAAAAGTCTTTAGTTTGCTCATATTTATAAAAGAAAGATACAACAGCAATCGATACAGCTTTACTATTCTCTCCGGAAACAGCCGAGCTCCTGGAGGCGCACCGTGAGTGGAGCTAAAGAGTGATGAGCATTTGGGCGCCGAATGCCAACAAAACAGACATTTGATGCCGTTTCACTTACTGTCTGCAGTTCTGAATCATGACCGGGATCCTTAATAGCTGGGACCGCTCCATCTTTCAGTATCAAACGATGTGCTAATCCAGCGTTGAACTGGGCCTTGTTTATAAAACGTTCGTCAACAAAGACACTTGAAACTCCGTTGCTGCACAAACTGTATCCACTGTATGCGTAACGCTGGGTTCTTTAGGAAGCCGAACAATGTTATCTTTCCAAAAACACACTTCTTTGGAATGGAATGGAGACATTCTTCCCGAGCAAGTTCCGTGCAGCGCTGCCGCCGGATAATGAAGCGCGTTGATGGGCGCGATCTCGCTCTTGCTGTGGACGATGCGTGCGCGGGCACGTTCTTCCAGGAGAAATGCCCATATAAGGAGTTCCACCCTCGTTTACATCATTAAGAGCCACGATCGAAAAAACACTCTCTGAAGCTTGTACGAACCCGGAAGTACGATTTTTGGCACAGAAATACTCCAGAATAATCCAACTCTTTAACAGTGTAAACAACTCTGAATGCATGAAACAGCATTGTAACCCCCCCCCCCCCTTTAAGGTTACAACAGTGAAAATGTTTTTCTCATTTTCTTTTTGTTTGGAAACAGTCTAATCCACACATCTATCCTGACAGGCATCATTGAACGAGAGATGAGGATATTGTTCAGTGTTCCAGACGAGAAGGAAACAAGGTTGTGGTGCAAATACATGAGCAATCGTTTTGAGCAATTGAATAAACTGGACAGCACCATTCAAGACGCTGGACTCTTCGACGGACAGGTGAGACAATTTGTGCTTTATTGCAACCAGGAGCCCTAAGCTAATTTTCTGAGAATAAACAGAAATGGACTGGGTCAGAAATTAGCTTTTCCATTAAGCAGCAATATTTGCCCCTTGGATTGATTTCCAGAAGTATTTTCTTTTTTGCATTTTTTTTACCTTTGTTACCAATCAAATTGTATCCACATCAATAAAAGTCATGATTACACTGCAAAGGTGGAACACAAGCTGCAGCTGTCATGACAAGCTTATTTACACAGACCGTTTAGTGATGTTTTATTAACAAGTTTCGGGAGGAGCGCGCACAGATAATTAACACGGCCAGTTCATCATCAGTAATTACACCATCTATCCAATCAGCTCAAGAGAGAACCTCTATAAATAATCAAAGCAGCCTTACCTCCATTATCTCCCGTCCTTAGCATCCCTCCACCACCCCGACTCCTCACCTTCAGCCCGTTCCTACCCCAGCACGGGGAGGAACACTCGGGGGGAGCATTTTGGGTCCGGGCTTAATCCCGAGCTCGGACCCCTCTCCCCGGACAGGGGGAGTACCCCGGGCTCGAGAGTAATTACCGAGCTCGGAGCCCTCTCCCCGGACAGCACGCCAAATACGCATAAACTTTACTCGGTTCATTATAAGTAAGTGTGAACTCGTGAAATGCTGTTCAAAGATGGCATGCATGTATTAACAGAAGATTGCATGATGTTGTGTAATATAATCAGCCTACATATTATGGCTAATCATTATTTTTGATGTATATGAGCTCAACCGATATCTGTGAGATTGGTCACCAAAAGAATGTTATTTTGGCAGAGGAGGAAAAGACAGAATACCTGTATTTAGGAGTATCTGTCGTACGATTTGTCATGCAAGATGTTTGAAGACGCACATTGATTTTCAAACTGCACTGAGTTAATTAGTGAAATATGCCTGTATTACCATTCCATTATTGCAGTTTCAGTGTGTTTTCTGCTGCGTTCAGTTGGAGCCATGTGGCAAAATTAGACTTAGCATTGAAACTTTCAGCAAAACTTCTTTCACACTGGACAGACTTGCTCATGCATGCATTATGAACACTGTAGCCTGTTAACGTTTGACCTCTCCACTCAGGTTTGATTTTATTCCTAGATCTGTCTTTCTGTTTGTAGGTTGTAGTTATTGAACAGAAGAATGAAGACGACATGTGGCCCCGTGACTCTTCAACACTTAAGTAAGTGATTAGCACGTGAATCTGAAGTATGGATCATTTTTAGGGCTGTGATGCTGGCAAGCTTTTTTAAAACATTTAGATTTTTGTTTTTCATTTGAAGTGTTTCTTTGTTTTATTTCTCAAATCTTTTTAGATAACTGATATCAATCTCAGGTTTGTTAAATAGTTTGCCAGGTTTTCCTAGGTACATGGAAAGCCTACATAAAGATGTTGTTCCACATTATTAAGCTAGTCCCATGCAATACAGGGCAGAAGAGAGATCTTTCTGAAGATGAAAATTCAGGTTTGATTTTATTCCTAGATCTGTCTTTCTGTTTGTAGGTTGTAGTTATTGAACAGAAGAATGAAGACGACATGTGGCCTCGTGACTCTTCAACACTTAAGTAAGTGATTAGCACGTGAATCTGAAGTATGGATCATTTTTAGGGCTGTGATGCTGGCAAGCTTTTTAAAACATTTAGATTTTTGTTTTTCATTTGAAGTGTTTCTTTGTTTTATTTCTCAAATCTTTTTAGATAACTGATATCAATCTCAAGTTTGTTAAATAGTTTGCCAGGTTTTCCTAGGTACATGGAAAGCCTACATAAAGATGTTGTTCCACATTATTAAGCTAGTCCCATGCAATACAGGGCAGAAGAGAGATCTTTCTGAAGATGAAAATGATGAATTAGTGCAATTGTCTTGCAAAGCCATAAAAATAAGTAATATTAAAGCTGCTTATGTGTCCAGAGTAGGGGTGCTCTGATCAGGATTTTTGAGGCTGATCACAGAAAGCAGTATCTGCCGATATGATCACCGATACCGATCTTTTTAAAGCCTTCTTTTTATCATGTAGAATTATTTATAGTGATGATCCAATCAAGATTTTTAGACTTTTATTCAGGGCCTGAATTTAATTTTTTTTAAATGAATTTTTTCAAAAATATACATTTATCTCACCTAAATGTTTGATCATGCACTGCATTTTTGTTTTGACAATCGTGCAATTGTTGCACAATAGCTTACACGCAGCACAAGCTTGATTTCGTGAGCTGTATGTGAGGTTCACACATACTCCGTTTGCAATGCGCATACAGTCCATGTGTGGTACGTAAGTGGTGCAGAAACGGCTTTCTCACTAGATTGATATATTAAATTGCTCAAGCAAGTGGCACAACTACTTTTCTTACGTTATCGTGACCATTAAAACTTACCATTGACAGAAACGGTCAGCTCTACTGCCTTTTCTTTTGCATTTAAATCTTTATCACAAGTAGTCCTGCGGTTCATAAAGAACTTTGTTTTCCTACCTCCACGAGTGCCATCTGTTATTGTCATGTTTATCTAAAAGTGCTCTTTTCGTTTAAACCTAGCCAATGTGTTGACTGTGAAACACAGTAGACTTTAAAGGTGCTGTATGTAAGTTTTTGACTCTACTAAAGCATAAAAATACCATAATATGTTTGCAGATATTTAAGAAACATGCTAAGTTAACATACTTGTTTATCTGAAAAACAATGCTACAGTCAGTTATTCTCCTTTGAAAATGTGCGTTCCGTGCCGGAATATCGGTCTCTGTTTTGGTTTGTGAAACCCATCCACTGCCAGTTTACCCAATTGTATTTCGTCACCCCGAGTTGCCAGTTGGTGGAAAACACAGCATATTTAATTTCATTCATCGTCAAGTGCGCTCATTCCTGTTGGTGTCGTCAATCTGGCAACCTGCGTGTGCGTCAAGTCTGAGGAGGAGGGGCCGGGTGAAAAAACCCTCTCCAATATTTTGAATTTGGACTGCAATACCTAGTTCAACCACTTGGTGTCAATCCTACATACAGCGCCTTTAATTATATGCATTTATGGTGTAATTACTACATTTTCATGTCAATCCATGTTAGATTTGAGTGTGCGACATTATAAAGATAAAGCGATTATCGGCCGATAGTGATCGGTAGCCGATAGTCTGGAGCCCCTAGAACCTCTCCATGCAGGTATGCATAAAGCTGCCTTTAAGCCACTTCTAACCAAAGCTCGCAAAGAGAAATGTTTGCAGTGGGCTCAGAAATACATTCAGACTAATTTTTTTATCGTTTTATTAATCGACGAATGCTGTGCTACAGTGGATGGTCCCAATGGATGGATTCCAGGATGTTTGATAATTGGCCGCCCTGCGATAATACTGATATTTTACTTGCATAATACTTTGGAACACGGTGTAAATCATAATAAAATTAAAGTATTATTATTATAAACACTAAGTAATATATTACTATAGTAATAAAACTTCACTTAAAAATAAATGTAAATGAAAAGTTCATATTAAGTCATTTATTGCAGGGGTTCCTAACCCTGGACATCGAAAAGTTTAGCTCTTCTAATCAAACACACCTGAACTAGCTCTTCAGGATGGCTAGAAAGCTATAGGCGGATGAGTTGGATCAAGGTTGGCGCTAAACTCTGCAGGAAAGTGGACCTTGAGTGCCAGGGCTGAGAACACCTTTTTTTTAAAGGGGTCATGAGCTGAGAAATCAGAATTCCTTGATCTTTTGATATTATTTACTGGTAATGTGCTTTGTGTAAACGCAGAATGAACATTGCTGGCATGAGCTTGTAGAACACGCTGACAAATTAAGTCTGCTTTGGTCCAAATTGGCCAATCGTAGCGTTCTTATGGAGATGATGCGATTACTCTGAGCTGTTTTTATTTATTAATTTTTTTTCTATGTAAATATGCACTAGATGGACATATTTGACTATTGCGTCTCGTCTCACAGCTTTTTCAGTGTGTGAAACCCAGTCTTCTTTTCCATTCATCAGCGCTGCGACGCTGCAATTGGATATTATTATGCTTGTCTGTTTATAAGAGCAAAATCGTCTTATGCCTGTCACTCAGACTTCAAAAATGTTGTAAAATTGGACAGATAGTGAAAATAAAGCGCTTCTACTCATGCGGGTGAATGAAGACAACGGCACAGCTTTTAAAATTGTTTCCAATGACTGACATAACAGAATTGTCCGGTTATGAATTTACAAACCTTTTTTTCTTTCTTGTAAAAGAATTTACAAAAGGTTTGTAAAACATTTACAACTGATGAGTAGTTTACACTTTAAATTAGGGGATGCAGAAAGCTTTGTAAATGATTTATTCATGCGTTTACAGAACAGGTTTTGACTACTCTGTAGCGTGTACTGCAATGTAAAGGCTGACCAGTTCACATTATCACTAGATCCCACACAAGAACACAAGTCTGTGCTGATGAGAGAAAGGGTTTAACACAACCCACTGGAATCCCCTGACTGTAAGACATTTACACGTTTATTCACTTGACCGCAAATAATTTATTACTCTTTGAAAAAAAAAATCGTTTTAGCATAATTGCATTTTTGTGCTTTTTAACAGACCAGCTTACAACTTTAACAAAACATACATAAATTATATACTGATCATTTACTAATGTTTTGATCATCGTTTGTTCATGATTAACAAATGTTTATTGAGATAATAGTACAATGTTGACATTTCAATGATTTATAAGTGATTAATAATATATTAACTAGTAACTATTGACCATTTACTAAGGATATGTTTGATTTTCATGATGCCATTTTTTAAGATAACTAACGACAGATTTGTAAATCGTTAGCATATTACTTAATAATCATTTGTGAACGTATAGTCATGTTTTGTAAATGATTAGTTCATCATTAACTAATCACTTATAAATTACCTACAACTGAACATTATTATAAAGTGTTACCCGTATGGTGACCCATACTTTGTGCTCTGAAGTTAACCCATCCAAGTCCACACACAGCAGTGAGTCATGAACAAACACACACACACACACACACACATTGTGAACACACACCCGGAGCAGTGGGCAGCCATATTGCTGCTGCGGCTGGGGAGCAGTTGGGGGTTCGGTTCTTGCTCAAGGCTACTTGTGCATTCGTGTTAAGTTCATTTTTGAGAATCAGGAAAATCCACTTGCTTCATTCCGCTCCGTGTTCATGCAGGGCTTTTCTTTTTTGTGTGCAGAAGCCGTTCACCGGAGATGATGTAAATAACATTGCAAACAACACTAAATCGATAGCCTAATAAATCATGGATTCGCTCATTTTTATCAAACTATCATGTTTATTTTTCAAATCCACTGATCATATATTGACCTTATACATTAATGCCTAGGTCTCTGGAAAGTTTTTGCTTGGTCAAGTGATGATCCTTTGGCGGTGATATCTTCCACATGTGTTTGGCTGTATTAAAGTGGAAAGGAGGAGATACATTCCATTTAAAAAGCCTTGGACACAAAGTCCTGTGAAATGCTGAACTTCTGGGGCACTGAGAAGGTCCTTGTTCTTAGAGGGGTCATATGATGCAATTTAATTTTTT